CGAATTTATAGCGATCGCGGTAAGAGCGTCACATTTAGCGACTAGACTGCTATTCGCGTGACGCGTTCACGCCGTGACTTTTCATCGCGAGTCACGTCGCGATTTTTGCAAGATAGTTGACCTGGGTGTAATTGTTACATTATCAGAAATTTCTTTTCTTTAACATCTTTCTTTTCGTTGCATGATTCATATTTTTTTGTTCGATAATGTAATAATCAATTGTTTTTCTATTAAAAAATTTTCTAAACAGGTAAACTCTTTTCCGATTTACTCACTACGTAAGCTTGTAGTCTTTCTAGCAAATATCACTATCTGGAAGACTTGAGAAAAATAAGACATTAGGTTCATTTGATTTCAACGACTGAAGTCAATACTTTTTCTACATCCATAATTTTTTCTAACAGAAAGAAAAAAATCATTTTAAGGTTATAGTAGTATTTCTCACATGTCATTTTTGGTTTGTCTGCCCTTCTTTTGAAAAAGAGAAAAGACAAAAACTTCATCGTTATTTTTATTTAAGAAAGAAATCAATAGGAATTTTTAACAAAAATACATACACTTAGAAATGTTAGTCGCGCCACTGCCGACAAAATGATCAGCTAACATCTCTACGCCTTCAGAATAGATACCACTATATAAATATGTTAAAATTGCACTTTTTTGCTCGTTAGTTCACAGAAGTTATAAATCTCTTACAAATCTACCACTGTTGATAATTTTTGTTTAGGAAATAAAAAAATAGTTTATACAAGTATAACAATCGGAAATATCACGAAATATTAGGTAGTTAGTGAATCTTCATGAAAAAAAGAGTTTATTCTTGATTTTTGTTCAGCAATAATCTAAAAATAAGGCAAAAAAGAAATACGCATTACTCATTACAAAAAAGTGAGATACTACGGTAATTAAACATACTCTCATTGTATTTTCTTTCGTCACATAAATATGATCGGGTTTTATATTGCGAACAGTTGACTCATAATAAGACCGTTGTAAATGAATGAATGTTTTCAATAATGACGTTTGTTGTCGAACTAAATCGTCAATGGCTAATAGGACAGGATTTGTCGTCAGCATTGATTGCAAAACGTCTTGTTGAATAACAGATTTTACCAAATTCGATGGCTGATTTAGAAATACAAATGTTGGTGCTAAAGAAAAAACATAAATAATTATTTTAAAAGATCATCAGCACAATAAAAGCCTGTTACTTTGTTGAATCTGAGATGAATAGGGTAAGGAAAACAGATCTACTTGAACTTGTTGATCGTCCATTGTAGGTTTACGCACTACTGATTCCCTAGAAAAAGATGCGAATTTATAAGACATATTAAAGTTTTCTACATAAGAAATATGACTGATTTCAATCGATCATTGCTCATTAGTAGCCACGATTTGACTAACCCGTGTAGAGGACAAAGATTTAACAGATTTAGGGATGATCTCGTGATCCTGATGATCGTGTCCTTCTGAAGATGTTGCCATTTAAAAAAGTAAATTTTGCTCGAAAGCAACACTCCAGGATAAAATTCTATTTTCTTATAAATCACAGTAGCTGAGATCTTTTTACTATAGCTGCCGTGAAACATCGTTTACTCAGTCATAACGTCAAAATTGTTAGACTACAAATTGATTCATTATGATATATGAAGTATGTGACAAGTTAGACAGTAACTTTCAAACAGTTGTTTTAGTTGATGGAGCTGATTTAAGCAAGGATGTCCTGGAAAGAGCAGATCGAGACGCTCGAGACCAATGTAAAAGAGTTCATTCCATAGAGCATGCAATGATCAAAATGAGACAGCTCCGAATCCTAAAGGATGAATGGTGATGAACTTAATCAAATCGTGGATATTTATTGATCAGCCTAAATCGTGACTATCATGTAATGGTACAACGACTCCTATACATACCGTCGTTTTTCAACAGGAACCTTAATGGTGGATTCTGATTGATTTGAAAAATCATCAGAATAGTTAATGACAGTTAGTTCTTCCGGTATTTCATCTTCATCCACAATATTTTCATCTATTTTCGTATATTCATCATCAGATGTATCATTATAAATTGGTTGCTGCTGTTTCTTTTTTGGCGAAAACGAAAGTGATTTTTTCTTTTGACGCGGCGACAGTTCATTATCAATAACTAGATTGGCAAACATATTATCGACTGGCGATTCACTACTCGATGAACGCTTCTTTCGATAATTTTTTTTTGGAATATTTTCACTATTGTCCGTTATGTCTTCATTTAAATTTAGAAGAATATTGGGACCAACGAGAGCTGTAGATATTGATTCTGTATCTGATTCATTTGATGATAAACTTTGATGGTGTTGAACAATGTCAGGTTTAGGCTCTATAACTAACACACGTCGAGGTGTATGAGTCGAACGAGGATTCTTCGGTGGTGTTGGCGTGTGTTCTTCGTCAGCTGAAATAAAATTAAAAGCATTTACTCACTACCACTTGAAAAAAAGAAACAAGTACATACTTTTTACAGAAAATAATTTGTCGGAAAATTGCACTGAATGTTCACTTTCTTTTGGGACAAAATCCTAAACAATGTCTACTATTAACAAACGTCAGCAATCAATTATTATTATTCAAACCTTCGGTGATTTCAAAATGCCTTTTCGTGGAGTTAATGTGGGTGTTTTTATACCATCTGATACAGGAGATTCTGTTTCGCCAATAAATTCGGAGTAGGAATCATCATCTGTGTCTACCCCTAAAAAATATAGAATAAAGATTTTATAATATAAATAGTCTTACTTTTTAACTTATAGAAAACCTGCTGATGATTTGGTCGATTTTTTATTTTTTTTCTGATTTTGCCGATCAGTATTAGCGTCGCTATCAGACAAAACAAGTTGTGGTACATCAATATCATCTGTTGATCGTTTTTTCAGAAAACTTTTTTTCACTGCTCCAAACAAAAATTTTTCACTTTGTGCTGTTACTTCGTCCGATGATGTTGTGTCATCGTTATCTTGTTTATCAAACGTTCCCGGTTTTAATTCTAAACCTTTATCATGCAACTCTTGTCTTAATTGTGCTCGAGCTAATAACGATGATTGGCCAAGTAAACTAGATTTGTTGCCTGAAGATTTTGTTAAGAGTGCTGTTGTCGCTGGTGCTACTGTTGTTCCTCCTCCTCTTGGCGATTGGCTCACTGTTATTTTCTCAGCAGTTGGAATCTGTTTTTTAATGAATTTTGTACGTTCTTCTGGACGCGGAGTGGTTAGTGTTTGAGATGAACTTGTTGTGCTTGTTGATTTTTTTTCATTTTGTTGTTTTGTTCGAGTTCTGGGTGTTGGTTTACTAGATTCGAAAGAAACTTCACTGAGCTCATAATCTGCATTATCCATTTGCTCAAATTTTTGTGCCAACGCATTTTGTTTCTGAAAATATAGAGAATTCTCTTACCTTTCAACGTTGAACCATTGAAATGCAAAGCCTGTACCTGAGCAAGTTTTTGTTCATCGACTTCTAATCGTTGAGCACGCTTCTGCATTTTTTCTGACAATGCTTGTAGTGTTGATGCAGGCATATTTAGTTAGTCGAATTTTATTTTTAAAGAAGCAAAGTTTATTTTTGAAAGAACCAAATTTTGGTATTAATTAGAATCTACAAATCCGAAAAATTTCCCCCGAAAAATACTCATCCCTTCCCTGAGATCATGCGTTGCTATGACACCATCCTTCGCAGTAGTATATCTGGAAATTGTAGAAGTGACAGCTTTCATTTGACAAACGAGAAGATTGTGGCGACCAAGACGGTTTCGTATGTTCGTCCAACAAACATTCACAGAATGTGAGAGAAAATAAGTTAAACAAATTATGTAGTGCGGTTAATACTTCCGCTGCATTATCGTAGTTTTAAATGACATTAAGGAACTGTTAATCGCATAAACAAAAGGTCGATTTGTTGATGATCGAATCTTCCGATGAAGCGACAGTATGTTAGCCGAAATATGAGTTTTTGTTAATTTTTTTCTCAGAACTGGGAAACAATCTCTATTATATGAGTCGCAAGACAACGCCAGAATGGATCGATAGTGATGTTGCCTGAAGTAATGTAATCTTAAAAAGAGAAATGAATGCACAGAAGTCAGTAGAAAGAACGTGAGCATCGTGAAGGTATGGTAAAAAAACTAGTATAGTATAGATCTTTTGTATGAGGTGCGAGCAACTGAAAATGAAAAGAGAGAGAGAGAGAAAGAACACTCGGAGCTTATATAAAGAATAAAAAGAGGGACAAGAACAGACATATCCTCATGTGTTAAAGATACCCTGTGTTGATGTATATACTGTATATTTCGAAGTCACAACGGACGCTATTTCTATCACATTGAACAAAAGTAAAAGACATGGAATAGACGAAGAAAACAACAGAGAAAAGTGTGGTATGTTCTTCTTCACAAATGCAAGAGATGTTTCTGCTTCTCTCAGACAAATGCAAGTCAATAAAAATAATACAAGTTAATAATGTAATCTGCCTATGTGATAATTCAAATTATTTTACACAAGTTATATCTAGATATCATACCGTTTCATTTAACATTATACTTCCATAATACTGAATTTTGTTTGCTAGATAAGAAGTGACTGAGTTGGCGTTTTTCAAAGCGTCGTCAGGTGAAGAAAAGGACTTTCAATCAATGTCTAGCTAGGGATTTCTTGTCTGAATGTAAAAACATGAAGAGAGAAGCTTTCGGGACATTCGACAGTGAAACCTATTCTCTTTAATGTTTTTGTCTTCTTTTTCCAATTGTCTGAAATATGCAGAATGGTTTTTTTTTTTTCTTCTTTTTTTACCACTGGGGAGCTCACAGAACTTAATGATTACTATATACTACTTCAGACTATCTCTCTTTCTCTCTCTTGCCTTTCTAGACTACAATAAAAAGTTAGTTGTAGATCGAGTGATTACATGCTGTGTGCCTTAGAGTCTTATATTTTACACTCTATATGAAAAACGAACAGTGTTGGCATAATTAGCATACCATGTATCTTTCCTATTATTCTTTGATAGCAGTGTGTGTTATTCGGGTACACATACAAATCGAACGCATCTGTATATCGAATGTGAGTATAGCTTGATGAAGAATAGTATGTTTATATTATTTTACCCTTATATTTCGGGATAGGAATCAAGATCAATATCATTCTGTGAGAAACAGATATTCTCTTCATCATCCAACAAATGTCATAAAGAATCTAACAGATAATTTTTTAGATAATAAGGGTTCGCTTTCGTGCACTCCTATTTAAATATATCCAGAAATTAATGATGGTATAGCATAGACATAATTTATATCCGAAGTTTTTCCTTATTTCTGTATATGAACACGTACTATAATTCTGCAAAGTGCACTTTATATCGTTCGCGTTCTTTTTCTTTATTTTATTTTTATTTCATTTTTTTTCTCGCTCTCTAGAACTCATGTGCGTATCCAGGGCCCTTGGGTGTTTGATTGACGTAGTAGATTTTTTGTGGCGCAAAGATAATGTAGTAGACACATTCATGCAACATAGAATACGCAAATCAACAAAAAGCACATACTCGTTATTTCCTATCCACAAGTGTATGTGACTATGACGTGTTTTTATCTCTTTTTTTCTCTCGGCAGAAAGAGGTGTTTTGAATCCCCATGAGATCTCCACTTTAATACATACAGTAAAATGAAAAATATATTATCCTATGAGGATATAGAGCTGC